ATTGAAGTTGTCAAGGATTTCATTTTACTTGGATCCACAATCAATGCCCATGGAAGCAGCAGTCAAGAAATCAAACGATGTATTGCATTGGGAAAACCTGCTGCAAAAGACCTCTTTAAAGTGTGAAAAAGCAAAAATGTCAATTTGAGAACTAAGGTGTGCCTGATCCAAGTCATGGAATTTTCAAACGTCTCATACATGTGGGAAAGCTGGACAATGAATAAGGAAGACCAAAGAAGAATTGGTGCCCTTGAATTATGATGTTGGTGAAGAATATTGGATATACCATGAACTGCCAGAAGAATGAACAATGTGTCTTGGAAGAAGTACAGCTAGAATGCTCCTTAGAAGTGAGGATGGTGAGACTTCATCTCACTTACTTTGGACATGTTATCAGGAGGGATCAGTCCCTTAAGGAGGATATAATGCTTGGTAAAGTAGAGGGTCAGTGAAAAAGAGGAAGACCCTCAACAAGATGGATTGACACGGTGGCTACAACAATGGGCTCGAGCATAGCAATGATTGTGAGGACGAGACTGCCTTGTTTTTCCAGGTCTTGCAAGTTTTCTGCTTTTGACAGGGTGCAGTCTTGTCACTTTTCTAGTGGTGGTTTCAGTGGAAAATATCCGAGGTTTCCTTCTCTGACAGGTTTCCGCCTTACACAGGTTCCGGCTTTCACAGGTTTGACTGTATCTTTTTTTCTCTCTCTCTTTTTATTGTGCTTTAGGTGAAAGCTTACAGCTCAAGTTAATTTCTCATTCAAAAGTTTATACACGTATTGTTCTGTAACATTGGTTGCAATCCCCACAATGTGACAGCATGCTCCCGCTTTCCATCCCGGTTTCCCTGTGTCCATTTGTTCAGTTCCTGTCCCTTCCTGGCTTCTCGTCAGATGATGCCCATTTGTTCTCGTATATTTGATTGAACCAAGAAGCACATTCCTCACGTGTATTAATTTTTTGTTTTTATAGGCCTGTCTAATCTGTCTGAAAAGTGGGCTTCAGGAATGGTTTCAGTTCTGGGTTAGGAGAGCGTCCTGGTGCCAGTTTCGGGGGTTCCTCCAGGCTCTGTCAGACCATTAAGTCTGGTCTTTTTACTCGAATTTGTTACTGTATCTTCCTGATGGACTGACTCTTTCATCATTATATAATGTCCTTCTTTTTCCCTCCTAACAATTTTTGCCTTAAAGTCTATTTTGTCTGATGTTAGTAGAGCTACTCCAGCTCTCTTTGGGCTACTGTTTGCATGGAATACCTTATCCCATCCTTACTTTCAACCTAATCGTGTCCTTGTATCTACAAGTGAGTCTCTTGTAGACAGCATATTTTTGGATCAGTTTTTAAAATCCGTTTTACTAATCTTTTACTTTGAATTGGAAAGTTCCATCCTTATATATTTACTACAATTAATGATAAGGAAGGACTTACTTCTGCTATTTGTTTTCTATAGGTATTATATCTTTTTTTTTTCTTAATTCTTTAGGGTGACTGCTTTCTTTTGTGTTTAATTAATTTTTTGTAATGTATCATTTTGATTCCCTTCTCATTTTATTTTCTGTGTATTTTATAGTTATTTTCTTAATGGTTGTTCTAGGGATTGCAATGAACATGTTTTCTTATGACACTCTATTTTGAATTAATACCAACTTAATTTCCATAGTATACAAAAATATTGTTCCTATATAGATCTGTCCCTCTCTTATGTTGTATAAACTACAACTTTATACATTGTGAGCACGTCAATACAGATTTATAATTATTGGTTTATGCATAAATATTGTTTTGTTTTTAAATCATATAGGAAAAAAGAGGAGTTACAAACAAAAAATACATTAATATTGTATTTTATATTTACCTATGTACTTACCTTTATTTATTTCTTTGTGTGGATTCAAGTTACTGCGTAGTGTCCTTTCATTTCAGCTTAAAGGATGCTTGAGCATGTCTAATAGGACACATCCAACTAATGGGAGGAGTTTTTAGTCTGAAAGCAAAAGAGAGACACCCTGAGATCAGGGGTTACCAGGTAAACACAAGACTGAAATTACAGGGAGAGTTTAGGGACTTCATGGTTCAACTGCTTAATTTTCTTCATGACAGGAACTCCAAGTTCATCTAGTTAGCATGAGGAGGGAAGTATGCAGATAATTTGATGATTGTATAGAAGGTTTGAAGTAGCAACTGAGACTTATGGGAGTGGGAGCTAAGCCAAGAGCAGCTCCCAAACATTCGTGTACCCCTTCCCCCCACGTTGGAAATTCATTCTCTGTGGCTGGGTGTTGTCCTTCTGAAGCTCTTGGAAACAATGGAATTTTCTGTGGGTTCACTACAATCCCAGGCGACCCGCCCTGTAGGTGAGTCTCAGGTACAACTGGGAGCAGCCTCCCAGGCTGCCCTCAGCGCAGAGGGCGCTCTGCCCAGGAGTGTCAGTTGGTCCCAGCAGGCGTTGCGGTGTAACTCAGAGCTCGTCTCTGTGACGTGACACACTATCGCCCTGGAGCGGTTGGTATGGTGAAGGAGTGGGCTTCAGTCTTTGCGGGGAGGACCAAGGGGGGAGGAAGGAGGGAGGCCGAGGAGGAGGCCAGGACTGGGCAAGGACTGCCCTAGGACTGAGAGAGGAACTGTGGGGCTGACCGGTTGGTGACCGTTGCCTATAACAGCAACCCCGGCAGCAGCCGGTGTGGCGGTTCGGCTGACTAGGCCAAAGCAACCATGGAGGTAGAGTTCGGGGACCACGAAAGCGGGTTCTGCCATTATGAAGTGATCAGGTTTATCAACAATGAGATCCTCATGAATGGTGGTGGCCCAGAGTTCTACCTGGACTTCCGCTTGCGGCCCTGGAACGAGGTGGAGGACCAGCTCCGGGCCATGGTGTTGGACCCACAGGTGCCCCGCCCCATCAAGAGGGCCTGTGCCTGGAGCGCGCTGGCTCTGAGTGTGCGTGCGGCCGCGAGGCAGCGGGAGCAGCAGGTGCGTCGGGTGCGGTTGCTGCAGGAGCAGGTGGAGGAGCGCGAGGCGGCCATCTGGGCCCTGGCTTCCGAGCTGCAGCGGCTTCGTGGGGAGCGCGAGGAGGAGGGTTTGCAGCTGCGTTTCACACGCGAGGCCCTGCAACGGGCCCTGAACGAGCGTGACGTGCTGCGCGGGAGGCTGCTCCACATGGAGACATGGGCACAAGGTGCCCGGTTGCCCATGGAAATAGTGTCTGTCCCACAAGCCCAGCCACACAGGGCTGCAGTGTGGCCCCAGAATGCACACGAGTATAGCAATACGATGGCCTTGGGGGCACAAGGCAGGCTGTATGTGGCGGCCCAGATGATATCCCCAGCACCTGTGCTCTACATGCCAAGACCACTTTATCTTTGGAACCACGTGTTTCAACACCCTCTGCCAATGCCAGTGCTGCACTCATTCCCATTCCATCCACCATTCCCAACGATCCCATACTTGCCACCTCTACCACCTGCAGTAGTCATGGGAACAGCAGCAGCAGCAATCCCTCTTCAGATGCCTCCTGGGGTGATCTACCCTCCTTGCCCGTGGGTTGCAGTGGGCTTCCAGGGGCAGATGGCCCCCATGTGGGACCAGAGATACTATGGCCGGGAGGAAGGTCTTTTCATCCCCCAGGGGACTGCACCTCTGGGAAACAGCAGGAGTTACAGCCAGGAGAAAGGTTCCGAGAGGCCCCAGGAGATCGTCACATTGGGAGACAACGGGAGCCATAGCCAGGAGAAAGGTCCAGTGAGGCCCCAGGAGCTGGCCCCGGTGGAAGACAACAAGAACCACAGCCAGGAGGAAGGTCCAGTGAAACCTCCCGGGATGCCACCCCTGGTGAACAGCAGAAGCCATAGCCAGGAGGAAGGTCCAGTGAGGCCCCAGGGGATCTCCCCCCAGGGGGACACCAGAAGCCACAGCCAGGAAGAAGGTCCAGTGAGACCTCCAGGGATGCCGCCCCTGGGGAACAGTAGAAGCCATAGCCAGGAGGAAGGTCCAGTGAGGCCCCAGGCGATAACCCCCCTGGGGGACAGCAGGAGTCATGGTGTGAGAGAAGGCCCAAAGAAACAGCAGCCTCAGGGGCAAAAGGCCAAGCAACCAAGAGGAAAAAAAGCCTCGGAATACCAGCACCAGGAGAAGCCTGTCCCCGGAGGCAGTCCCGCGAATTGGGATTGCCTGTGGTGCAGAGCGATGAATTTTTCATGGCGCACAGCCTGCTATAAATGCAAGAGAGTCTATATGCCAGGTGAGAGCGGAGGCCTTGACCCAGGACAAGCTCCTCACTGATTTCAGAAAGGTAAGTGTGAATGGAAACACACTCCAAAGCGAAATCAATTTCTTGAGGCTCCTTTATGATTTAAAAAAAAAAAAATTAACAGAAAATTTGATAACCAAAATTATCATGTAGAAAAATAAATAACATAATCTATTATTCTGTTGGAAGCCCCAGTGGTATAGTGGTTAAGAGCTATGGCTGCTAACCAAAAGGTCGGCAGTTCGACTCCACCAGCCACTCCTTGGAAACCCTATGGGGCAGTTCTACCCTGTCCTATAGGGTCGCTGTAAGTTGCAATCGACTCAACAGCAATGTTTTTTTTTTTTTTTTTTTTAATTATCCTGTTACCGAAATTAGCCACTTTTTATCATTTTGGGCACACACACACAGAAATACATACATTTTTATATTCTTATTTTATTCATTTATTTTAACAAACAGGGACTACTTTCGAGTATCACACTTACTCCTTAAATAGAAGATTTCTCCTAATTGTATTTAAATTTCCAGGTGGTGGATTCTGGATGACTGATGAAATTGGTTGACGCCTTGGAGAAGTTGAAGTCATGAAGCCTTTTCTTTTTTTCTTTCTTTTTTAATTCTTTTTTGTTTTCCTCTTGACCTCGTTTTTCCGAAAATGCCATGCCTTTGACTGGAAACAGCCATGTGTTTTTAGTTATAAGCTATATCATATGTTAGGGACACTGCTTTTCCTTGAAAATGCTATTGTTGCTCTGTGAACTACTGCAGTTTTCATGATTGTTTCTTGTTTTTATTTTTTAGAGTTCATAGGTGAGGTCCTGTTTTTGTGTCTCTGAGCTCGAGAGAACTTAATTGTTGTTGAAAAAGTACACCTGTCCCATTAAAAGATCTCTAAGGAAGTAACACCTCAACTCTGAGTGACCCACAGTTAAGTGAGACCCCAACTGGCTGGAGCCAAGAAGAGTGAGAGCAAAGGGAAAAAGGAGAGCCAACGGATTTTGTTAGAATTTAATTTCTCAGTTGGGACAAGAGATTCATTTGTAAGAGTTGGGTGGGGTTGTAGCATTAAATTCTATAGATGATAGCAAATTTGAGGAATTTCATTTAATTTGTTGAACAAATAGTTATGTGTTAGGAGCTAGAATTATATGTTATTATCCGGTGCACACATTATAACATGATTTGAGGAGTTTGGTTAGATGACAGGAGAGAGCCTAATTTGAGATACAGAGTACATCAAGATTGTCATCTTTGCCTTGCATGTAGAGTGGCCTTCAGGTAAATCTGATTGAAATAACATCGTTATCCATTTCTGCATTTCTGGGGGCAATGTCAAAGAGACTTTTATGAAAGAAATTGAGTGTCTGAGTTGCTCATCTCATCGATCCCAGGTGAGACAAATGAGCAGTGGAATAGATTGGGAAGGACTTTTCTGATCCTCTGCTGATTTCCTCCCTTGAAAGGGATAGTTATATTCCCGGTTGCCCACCAGCCTGGCTGAAAGACCACTGGTCTGGGGGAGTGTTGGCTACCCACTTTAGCCCTTGGCCTTGGGCTGCCTCATGCCAGCCTCCTTTCCAGTCAACAGTGCATGAAAAACAAATTTGATTCTAAGGACACACAATGGGGCCACAATGCTGTGAGATGCTGCTTCTCTTGGAGGAGTAATTAGAGTAGGAGAACTGGACTGGGGCAAGCCCTCTTGGGAATGCTTTTGGACCCCTTCTCTTCTACTTGGTGTGCTCTCTGCTCCCCCAAGGCAGCTGCTGCAAGGCAAGGAGGGAACCAGTGGGGAGCCCAGGTGGTAGATTAGGTCGGCCTCCAGTCTGAACAAAAGGAAGCGTTTGGTTCCCCCATGAGATTCCACCCAGTTCACCAATATCAACTTTTGTCTGGGGCTTGGTCCAAAGCCCTAACTTCTAATAAAGAGTGTTCATTTACCTGCTGTGTCTTCTGTGTAGTGTGTATCTCAGGACTGGTTTACTGAGGGGTGACGGCTCAATTCTGCATCTTCCTTCCATCCCAATGAGGTGAAGCAAAGTTCAATCTCATTCACTATTAGATGGCCTCTCCTCTTCCTGCGAGTTCCCCAAGAATTGGGGGGCTTCTGTGGGGCCTTCAAGCCATCATGATTGCCACTGCTACCTGCACTGTCCACACCCACATGGTCCTTTGGAGGTCGGCATGTCTGGGCGGGAGGGGAATCTCTGCCCAGGCTGGGAGCCCTAGTGCCTGGGGTCCCGGTCCCCTACGTGCACCAAGAAGCCAGTCCCCTGAGATGCTGCCTCCCTGAGGCCTGCTGAGGTCTCCTGAGTAAAAAATTGCCTCCTGTCTTTCTGCCTTCCCAGGCACTCTCCCCTTCCACTCTCCTATGCATAATCCTACTAAGGTGCTCAGGATTGTGGAAAGCAGCCAGGCTGCAGACTGTGGGCTAACAAACGTTCCATTATCAAAGAGGTTGGAGGCTGGTGGCCTGCTTGGTATAGGCAGAGGGCAGAGAATGAATGTGATGGTTACATGGGAGAGGAGTGCTGGGAAGGAAGGGGACCATCAGGGGCATCAAACCCAAAGCTAAGTTTTCGGGATTGGGGGCTGGTTTTGTGGTACTCTTGTGTATGCTGATAGCTCCCTGGAATTTTGGAAATACGAGACACAGATGAAACTTGGGAATGTTCCAGCATAATCCGTTTTGAAGTACCAGCAGGTCATTCTAGCACTCAGTGCAGTTCCTTCATTTATGGCTTCACAATGAACTCTGCTGGCCATTGGCATGCCTTTTGGTCTGCATGAAAGTAGACTCTTCCCTGTGTATAGCTTTAACATAGTTTGATTACACAGTCTTTCGGGGCTGATCCTTTTTCAAAGAAACCTGCATGTTTTAGCCTGAATCATTGAGACTGCCTGTTCAAATCACTATATGCTTTTGGGCTGGGCACATGCAAGTAAAGGCAGCAGATTTCTGTGGCAAGAGTCTGGGCTTTGGAGCCAGAGAGACCTGAGTTTGGATACTTGCTCTGCTATTCATTAGCCATATAACCTTGAAGAAGTTACTAAACTTCTGAGTCCCAACAAGTGTCAGTTCCCTTTCCTTAGCCTCAAGGTTCTGCTCTGAAAGCTGTGGTAATGAGTGTAAGGGATTATTAGTGATAGTAAGACTTATCATTGAGTGCTTACTATGTGCCAGGCACACTAAGTACATTATCTCTTTTGGTGACTGTAAGGTATAATACGTACCCCATTAAAAGTTCTTCAAAGTGGATATTATTACCTCCATTTAATAGATGCAGTAACCTAACACCCAAATTTGGGAATTGGTGAAGTCTGGCTTCAAAATGAAATCGTACTGGTTCCAATAGCTGTGTTCTTTTGTAAAAATGGTGTGGTGGCGGCGTCTGACCTCCTCTAACTTCACAAGGGGGAAGGAGAATCAAGATCAACAGCCCAAGGATGATTCCTATGAGGCAGATGTCAGACATGCCTCCTCTCTTCGCCATCTTTACCAATCCTGACACCAACTGTCCCTTCCCACGGCACCCTCTACTTCTCTGCTGGGTTCAATAATTTATGGCAATGGCCACACAGAACTCACAGACAATACTCATGATTATGGGGTTTATTAGGGAAGTAAGAGGTTACAATTCAGGTTCAGGATTGCTCAGGATACAGTTCTTCCTTCAGGACGGCCTCTTTTCAGCTGTGCCTGCAGGAATGCCTCTCTCTGGCCCTTGGCCTCTGCCCTGCTCAGCCAAGTGTTACGCAGCTCTTTTAGCTCTACTGATAAGTGCCCTGAGGCACCCCACTCCTCCAGTAAGCCTCAGCCCCAAGGTGCTCAGCTCTAGCTCCACGGGTCAGCATACCTAGCTCTACCAAGTGCCTGGAGGCACCCTACTCTGCCAGCAAGCCTGCTGCTGGAAGACACTCAGCTTTCTCGCTTCATGGGCCAGGAAGCCCATCGCACCGTCTCTTGCTTGTCTCTCCTGTCGCCGTCTCTTGGCCACTGCTTTGCACCATCTTCAATGTTACAGCCCTTTCTCTTGGTCTCCCAGCTCCAGGAGCCTCCCAGCACAGGGATCCTGGGTCCAAAGGATGCACTATGCTCCTGGCTCCCCGTCCCTGGCAGTGGTGAGATCCTCTCCTCCCACCCCTGGGATGGCAGAATGGCAAAACTGACCAATCTCTTTGATGGGTCACAAATTACCTTACTTGCACAGTCCCACCCAGTCACTTGAGTGGGAATTACAAGACCTTGACAAGAAAGTCCACACAAAAGCGATCCATCGCACTGCATCTTTCCATTCTATCACACTGCCTTAGATTTTTTTACCCTTACTAAGTAATATATTTGCATGTTAACAGATCATCAGTGCCTAAAACCCAATGAAATAACTATAATGGAGGGACTATAATAGTGGCAAGGAGCTCTGGTGGCACAGTGGTTAAAGCACTTTGCTATTAACTGAAAGTTGACTGTTGGAACCCACTAGCCACTCCATGGGAGGAAGATGTGGCAGTCTCCTTCCATAAAGATTGCAGCTTAGGAAACCCTATGGGGCAGTTCTACTCTGTCCCATAGGGTTGCTATGAGTCGGAATTCACTTGATGGCAGTGCATATAATAGTGGCAGTCTGGTGGACAGGAAGCTGCTCTTTTAGAATCTCTCAAGTTTTTGGATATGTGACCATCTAGGCTGCCAGTAGGTAGGGCCATTTATTATCTCAGTCACCAAGACTGCAAAAAAAAAAAAGGTGGCAGTTTAGGCAGTGGGAACGACTTGTGTTTGATTCAGCAGACTGGTCTTATGAAAAGTTTGTGTGAGTTCAATATGACTAACACAGAACACAACTTGACTGCTTATCTAAAGTCTATCTGAATTACTGTATTTTCGTTTTAAGCGGATAAGGTGCCAGCTATACGAGTCCAGTATAGATGTATATACGTTTTCTGTGAGGAAGGAATGGGAAAAGAGACTTCAAAAGCTTCAGACATATGCTGCAAAACGGAAAATGGAATTGATGCTTTTAAAATCATG